AGATGTCTAATAACTTAATATTCATAAAGTTCAAATAAATGCAAAACGATTTGCACCCGTGTTGAGTGTCACCTCTACTACTGTAAGAGGCTGTGTGGAGAGGGTTGGAACAGAAGAAGGTGGATGTTTCTTCCACGCAGTTCAGCCAAAACTGAGCACATTGTTGTACTCAGAATTCTATTGACTATTTGATCATTAACCAATATCTGTGTAGAAGCAAATTGTTGTCAGTAGATAAATAATCTCTGTCACAAGGATGTCAGAGTGTGTAGTCTCCCAATTCACACTAGATCATAAAAATAAATCTTCACCTTCTCCTTGTGTTTTATCTGGTAGATGATTTTGTAGCAGAACCTCTCACACACCTTTTTAACCAAACAGCGTAAAAAAATTAAACCCTCTCAGTATGCTAATCAGCTTAGCTTTTGAGTTTGCTTTATTAAAAGGGGGTGACCCGGTCATTTGATCCAATTAAAGACTAATATCTAACTTATCAGTGCCGGTCAAAATACTTGAGAGTGAGCAAGTAAAGGTTTATATTTAAATGCCATCTTTTTTGAAATATATGCCAAGGTTTGATTTCTATTGATTGTGAAGCTTTTCACACAGAATATTAAAAAATAATAATAATTTCTTTAATCAGGACTCTCAGAGAAGCCATTTCACAAACTACCTCAGTGACAAGGCTCTGTGTTACATATGATATTTTGAGTTGAGAATTTATTGTTCACAAAGCGGTGTGCCACAAGGTTCTGCATTAAGTCCTTATTCATGCTTATTCACATCAATGTTAATTTACTTTTTGGTGCTAATGACACTGTTATTTACTACTAAGGACTGACTCTTTTTCAGGCCACTAATGTCCTTTTTGCATTGTAAGGCCCAGCTGCAGTTGGCTTGGCCTTATTCTCTCCCGGCCCTGGTTGTATTTGCTTTGAGCAGAGAGCCGCCTCAATGTGGGCAGGAATCATCACAATAAAAAACATGCAAATCTTATTTAATTTTATGTGCGACACAACAATAATGGACTACATCTAACTCAAAGGAAAAGCACCGAATGCTGTACCAGACCATCCAGCAAGTATGACGGTGAAGATGAAAGTGCAAGACGACAGACGGCGTTAAGCTAATGGTAGCTAATGTTAGCTTGTTGTTGTTTGGAAGCGTTTTGCAGTTATTTATTTGAAGTTGTGTAAAAAAAACATTACAGTCGCTGTAAACGATTCAAATTAAGTCAATCTTATGTGTGTGGTGTGACGCCGGTGGCCAATGAACCAATTAATGAGCAACAGCAGCTGACGTCAAAAATCAGCCTGATTAGAACCACAGGTCTCGGGGTTCCAGAAACTGGGTTGGAATTGGACCATAAAGGCTAATGCAAACATGCAGAACCCAGGTTTGAACCCAGGCTGGCCCGGGCTGGGCCAGGCCTTGCAGTGCAAAAAGGACATGAATCCATGAAGAAAGTCTTTGTGGCTGTTTGCAAACATAGACAAATGTTCTCAGATGGGGTGGCCTGCTTTGGTGATTGGTCATTGGGGGATGGATGGATGCATGGATGCATGGATGGATGGATGGATGGATGGATGGATGGATGGATGGATGGATGGATGGATGGATGCTTAGTATATATAGGTTTTGTTTTTTATGCAGCTTATGAATGAAATACATTGCAGGAGGTCTGGAAACTAGAAATATTTTATTGAGGACTTTTAAAGCTAAATTAAAATGATCTAAGGCCGAGTCTATAATATTATTTGCTTTTCAAAATTTGTATTTTCAGTTTTAAGCTCATCTGCATTTTAAATTTGTAACTGTGTTTTTGTTTATTGTGGTTGCTACTGCCTATTTTGGCCAGGTTTCCCTTAAAAAAATTAATCTCGATGAGATMGTCCTGGTTAAAGGTTTTATTATTATTATTATTATTAAAACAGAACTAGGATTTTTTTCAGGCATGTAAAAACTGTTGTGTTGATGTTTTTAAGTGTGCATTTAAGAGTGTGTATGTGTGTGTATTTTATCAGTTGATCCCCTGCCTGTCTGTGTTCTCCATCAATCTGTCTGCTGGCCTTCCCCTCACGTTCTCCTGTCTGCCTCTCCCTCTTCCTGTCTCTCCATCTGTGTGTCTATCGAGCTTACAGCCCTGATCCCGCCCGCTCTCCCAGGTTTATGAAATGCGAGCAGCTTAGCAGATGGTGCATATCGTGTTGTGGTTGGCTCTGTGTGGGTTTTGTACCACAGACGGAGGCTTAACAATACATGTGAGCCTTTAGTCACATAGGCACACTGAAACAYGGAGCTCAGGCTTTTAGTGCGTGAGAGGAAAACAAGAGGCGTGTACACAAACTAAAATATGTAAAAGGTTTGAAGGAGGAATAAAATGTGGTGAAACATTAAAAGGAATTTTACAGGGAAGAATTAAAGAGGAAGATGAACAGTAGAAAACAATACTCAAAATAACAAAAGCTTCTATGACTACAGCCTCCAGAAATAAAAAGTGAAATTATAACAGGGAGGGTGTTTATTCAGTTGTTTCTTTTAATAAATAAATAACAATGGAACATTGTGTTTTTTCTAAACCATACTTCAAAACTTGAATAAATTAGATATTATAATTTTAGGTTAAGGGCAGGTAAGAAGCATGATATTATAAACAAATTAAAAATAAAATGAGTACTTCTTAACACCACTTCCTGAAAGGTTCAACCTTTTACTCACAAAACAAAAGTCGGAGCTTTAGCTTCAACAACTACTGTAAATTATTTTGTACYCATTTATAACTACAGTTTATTTTTCTTTCTATCAGTTAGGGCTAAATATGCTGCCGACAATCATTTAAAGTTAATTGGATGAATGGAAAGTTTTGTAAAATCTCACACTAGGGGGTTGATTTACTAAAGGTTTGCAATGCATAAAATGACACACAAACTTGATAGTGTGCAAAGTTGATCTGCTAACTGAGGATTTCCTTTGTTAAATGTGCTTTAAAAATAATGCTTAAGTCTTATATGGTACGTTTTTAGACACTCCAAGACGCTTAATAATTTTCATTCGTTATTCATTCATAGACACATTCACACACTGATGATGGTACATAGTATACTATATTGTAGCCACAGCGCGACTGCCTTGCACCGGCACCACCAGCCCCTCTGACCAGCACCAGCAGGCAATGGCAGGTGAAATGTCTTGCCCAAAGGACACGACTCAGCCACAGTCTTTAGTGTTTTTGCCTTCATTATTATATAAAATGTATGATGATTATCAGAATGTGCAAAAATACAGGGAGGAAGATTTGCAGATATAACCATTTAGCAACACAGTGTGATTTATCAACCTAAAGCTGGTTGCAATTCAAGCAGAAACTCTCCAAACACTCACCAGTTTAATGGAGCCTATGATGTAATTTGACCATTTCAGATGTTTTTCATTGAAAAAGCTTTTGATTTCAGTGAATATGACCTCACTGCTGGGAATTCAGCAAATGACCATTTTCAGTTCTTCAGAACTTGTTGTGCATAATAATTAGGAACAGTGCATTTTAGTTATTTATTTTTTTAATATTGTTATTATTGGGAGATTTTTTTCAATGACATTTAAATTAAACTACAACAGCTGATGACTTGAAAACTATGTTGTATTTTTTCTTGACTATTTAGGAACATCAGAGAAATATATGTAATTTGCATAATAATTTGGAACACGGGGTATGTGATTTAGAGCCAGCCCATAGCTCCTAAAGAAACACAAGGTTAGGTCAGTGATAAAAGCCAGACTGATTCTAGCAGACCCTGATCAACCACTCCATGGTGAGTTCAGGTTGCTTCGTCCAGACGCAGGTATCTGTTGCCCGGATGTTGGACCAATAGACTAAAAACTAATTTATCGCTGTTATAATCAGACTTCTTAAAGAACATTGGTGATATTTTGTACTGTTATTTTTGTGTTTTATGTCTCATGTGGTAAGAATATTTTTTATCCCTTATGACCGTGCAACAAGTTGCCCTTCTTGAACTTGTATAAACTCAAAACTGCATTAAATTTTATTTGGATCATTTGCTTCCTTCACCATGTAGACTGTCTCCATTGTGACAGCGAGTTGCACACGCAAAATCCTCATTTCAATAGGGCGGTCTGCACCACTTCTGTTATCACTTGCAGCAATTTTAGTAGATCACTCGCACCACGCCCACTAATAGCAAAGGGAATTGTTTAGTTTGAGCAACAATTTAACGCTCGTTATTTGGGATCTTAGTAAATCAGCCCCTCTATTTTATGACCCTCACTGGGGATCCTGACCCCATTTTGGTAAACTAGAGACAAATCTTTCTGAAAACAAGTGGCACATTATTATATGCCCATCAACAACTATTAAACAGCAATCTACAGCAAAGACCTTGTATGATCTTKGACCTTGATTTGTTGATTTGTTGTTTGGTCAAAAGCATCGATTTCTATTCCTGCCAAATTTTATTCTGTATTATTTGGAATTTTCTTACAGTTTTCAGTTTTCTGTCCTGATGTTTCCTTCCTTTCTTCTCAACGACCTTCCCCGTTTGTCCGTTCTCACTGCAGAATCCACACAGAGTGGACTGAGAACAGGCAACATGTTTCACCACATTCCAAGCTGAATGACCTTCATGAAGAGTTTCAAGTCTCCCCATTATTTTAAATTACAGTTGTCTTGTTCAGACCATGTCGCCTATCAGCTAGGAAGAATAAAACACAGAGTTCAAGAACTCCTTTTAACTGTGGGCTCATTCTGTGTTTTTTTAAACTTGTACGTATTCATTAAAAACAAAATCAAAGCAAATCATGAAAGAGACAAAGATTTTTTTCTCTACTTGAAATATGTTTTTGGTTTGAGACAAAGACAAAAACAGTTTCTACTGACATCCACACAAGTCCAGTAAAGAGTCCAGATTAACTCTTTTAAAGAAACACATCATCTCAGATAAACAAGTCATGCAGAGGTTCATTAAAGTCCAGGTTGGACTCACCATGATGTAGTGTCTCTGCATTTCTGTCTTCTCACTGGCCAGCTTCTCACACTCCAGCTTCAGGCTGCACAAAAACAATAAAAAAAACAAACACACTGAAATTGTATTTTTACAAGTTTCTAAAAGGAAGTCAATCATTAAACACATAATGCAGAATCACTCATAGCTTAAGGCCCTGTAAGAATTATGTTATAGGTGTGTGTGTGTGTGTGTGTGTGTGTGTGTGTGTGTGTGTGTGTGTGTGTGTGTGTGTGTTTGTGTACTTGTTTCTGCTACAGAGTGAGGACCATGTTACATTTTGAATCAACAAAGTGAGGTCATTTTTGGGAAGTGAGGACATTTTTCTGGTCCTCACTTTGTTTGCAGCTCTCATGTGCTCTACTAGTTAGCTTTAGAGGTATGATGTGAATTAAGCTTTGGTTCAGGTTAGTCTTAGGTATAGACCAGTTATGGTTAGCTTTAGGGAAAATGTCTGGGTTAGGCATAAATGGAAGTCAATACAAAGTCCTCAGTTTGATGCAAGTGCAAGGATGTATGTGTGTGTGGACAGGTTTTTCCCACAACGTGGGGAAATTTTTCCCTAAAAAGCAGCCTTGCGGGGACTGAAGTGCATCATGGAGACCAATGCCCGGTCCCCACGGGTCCAAATGCAAATTACGGATGTGGGGTTAGGTTTAGGACCAAGGTTTAGGTTAGTTTTAGGGTCAGGTAGGTACCTGTGAGGTTAATTTTTAAGTAAACGGTCAGGGTTATGATATAAAATTTCCAAAAACGAATGTAAGTCACTGGAAAGTCCTCAAAAATATAGAGAGACATAGTAGGTATGTGTGTGAGATAGGGCTGAGCCTTCTATAAGAGCTGTGGATAACACTAAAAAAGATACATTTTCCATAGAAACAATTAGTAGTGTCCCAATCAATGCCAGCCTTTTTAATATTCTCACACAAAATGACAGAAACTCGGGACAGATACCAGTATTGATACTCCACTGAATGTAAGAGGATTGCCTGTTCCATGTTTCAGAAATCATATAAACTATTGATTTGATTGCTAATAGTTTTTTTACAACTGTTATAAGTTGTAATAATCAGATTTTATTAATGCGTACAAATATAACTGAGGTAAGGTTGGCATTACTGTCATAATATCCACACTTAATTGACTTATTAAAGAATTTCTACACTTAATTGTTGCGGTTACGAGTTTCTGCCGCAGTTCATTTGTGGGTCTCAAGCTGAAAATCTGTCAAGTTCAAAAGTTAATGAACTTGAAAGCCAATATTTGTACACTTCAGTGAGAACGTTGTTATAAAAAACAACTTTGCTTTTGCGTGTTTGCATCACTGAGATCCACACGTCCAAACTGTTCAACATAAAAAGTTTTGTTAATGTGGAATTAGCAACACACAGAGAGAAATAACGTCATTAAATAAGTGTTTTTGTTTAACATCTGCAGTAATAAAAGCAGCATTTGAACAGAGTTTGAACCCAGATCTATATGTACATCTGTGTTTAAGCTGGTTCATGTGTGTCATGTTTACCTGTGATACTGAGCCTGAAGGAACTGGAATTCCTCCTTGATGCGGTCCAGAGTTTCCAGGACTGTGAACTTGAAAGACTGGCCAGGCTGCAAGGGGACCTGCAGAGGAGAAAAACGAAAATTGAAAGAACGAATGAACAGAAACTGAGGTCTGCATGTGCTAATTCAAAGGGATGTTAGACACTGTCTATGTGTACAAGTGTGTGAACTTGCATGTAACACACACACACACACACACACACACACACACACACACACACACACACAGAGAGGCGAGAAATGGTTTAACTTCAACTACTTTTTAATTGTGCACTGCCTC